TCTCTGTCACTGATCTGGGAACATATTTGATTCTCTGAAATCAACAGGGTTTTGAGTTCAAGCCAAAACTAGCAGGACAGAAAACAGGTCTAATTTCAGATGCATCCCCCATGGCTCTGTGTCTCCAAGATGGCTGCTGATGAAATTACATGGGAACAGAAAGAAAACTACAAGATAATAAAGTGCTAAAATTCTTCCCTTATTTCATAGAGAAGTGAGGGGCACTGGCAGGACTATGCATGGAGCCATGAGTTGATCCGGCCAGAAGCTTAAGGGCAGGAGTAAATTTGCAGTAAAAGAGGAAGTTCTACAGAAGAAATTCAACCCCAAAGCAAAATCCACTGACATCACAAAGAATGAATTTGCCCATTAAGATGCTTTCAGTAAAAACCCAGTCGATACCTTTATAAAAATTGAGCCCCTGTATCAAAATAAGTAACTGAGAACTCCTGCTGCCATAAGCTATGCTGCATAAGATAGGGCAGTGGAAGATACCTCCCAGAAGAAATATCAGTAAGTTTTACAAGACTTGGTGCCTGGGCAATAAACACTGTCTCCACTCCTCCTACCCACCCACATCCCAGCCCCAGCCACGCAGCGTGATTTACACCTTGGTTTCAAACCAAGAGAGAGAGACACTCATTCTGTCAGGGCAAGAGTTGCAAGAGTTCAGCTCGGGACAAGGGGGAGAGGGAAGAAAGAAAGTAGCAGAAGCAGACGTGAAGGAGGAAGAGAGAAAAGGCTCACATGTCCATGGAGGGATTTGACCAGCAATCAGCTATGTGGAGAATCGCTCTTCTGTGGGGCAGCATATGCCCACTGGTCTTGGGTACATCCTTGGGAGTCGCAGGGCAACAGAAACAGGACAGAAGGAGTGTTTTACCAGAGGAACTTCATTTTTCATATGCCTGAGATTTCACTTGCTTTTCATGTGTCTTCCTCACCATGCTCTCCCTACTACCTAGCTCCCTTTAATGCCTTTTAGTATAGGCCGTATATTTGTGCAAGTACTCAGGTCAGATAACCCTGCCAGCTTTCTGCATGTGTTTATTTCTGACCTGCCAACATTTCATATGTTCTACTGTGCTCCAGAACATATTTCTTCAGGCCTTTGATTTTTTCTCCAGTAAGAAGCTGACATTAAAATCTTTAGTAGGTAAAGTTAGATGCCTTTACAAACCAGGCAAAAATGAGTCCAAGGTATCTACTGTAGGTGCTTTTTGTAAAGCAGTGTGTTATTTCTGGCTTAGCTGGCTATGTGCTCCCTACAGTAGAAGTTACAGTGGGAAACACATCAGTGGTTCTTATATGATTTTCCTCAAACCATATGTAGTATGGAATGCAAAAGCTTAGTTTAAAAAGCCTTTCCTAGTGGGAGTAAAGCCTTTTCTCCTTGGCTGACAGAGCTTTCATTCAAATAAGTCTTTTGGTGTTTATTTCCTACTGCTGCCTTTTGCATGAAGCTCTGCTTGGTGGTGTAACTGCTTCAGTAGGCTGTCTGCTGTCCCACCATTTTGTCAGTGCTTTTGGTAGCTTCATCAGAAGGTAATCCAGCCTAGCTCTAGGAATCCTTGAACAACAGCCTCAGAGAGACTGTCTCATACTTTTGTAGCTCAGAAGGCAAGAACAGGAGATATATTAGCAAAGGGATGTAAAGAAATGTCCCAGAGTAGAGAGTGTGCCCAAGTAACGTTAGGAGCAAGTTTGGGAAGTTCAAGCAGCACGTCTTTATTGCACATCCTTGTCCTGTGTTGTTGGCACTTGCTATCAGCTCCTGATATTAGCAGCAGATGGACGACTCTAGGTAGCTTGACAGCACTCAAGTGTGAAAGCATTCAAGGCTCATGGCCAACAAGACTTCGGGGCTGCTTCTCTGATTTTTGGTTTAGAGTTTGGCCAAGCTAATCATCGGTTGACAGCTAGTCTCAGTCTTGGTTTTTGTGCTTACAAACAGTATCGAGCAATGTAGATTTTGCTCCTGATGTTGGGACACGGGCAGTCCTGGGGAACTGCTTAAGGAAGAGTCATCGATAGCTGGGACACAGATGGGCTGAGGGTGAAGAGGATCTGTAGCTTAACAGAAAGCAGTCGACCAATAACTGTTATTTCCTTCCCACAGCACCACCTAGTGGAGCTAAGGGTAAAAAGCACCTACTTTACTGAAAGTCCTGGCTGTCCCTTGAGGAAGACAAAGGTTTGGAGAAGATTGAAGGAAAAAAAATGGATGCAGAAAGCCAATTAGCTCAGAATGAGTGGGAATTACCCTTGGTTTCTTCTTGTTGCTTTAGTGTCCGTACAAACTTAGCAGTGCAGTGTTGTGATAACAACCTCAGAGTGGCCTCTGCGGTAAATGATCAGTGCCAGTGAGAACAAGTCAGCCGCTCAGCCAACTTTTCTAGAGTGCTCAGAGTACTTTCAGTCCCTCTAGCCTGTGAATTAAAGTTATGAAAATCCTAATTTCTCCAAGGAGATTTCTAATATTTAACATACAGAAAATAAAAGTTTGATCAGTTAGTGCTGTAGTTACATGGCTACTTGAGAGAGCTGCTCTTCCTAAAACAGCTCTCAGGATATTGACCTTCAAATCTATTAGTTTTAATATGAAGGATAAAATATGGACCACAACCACCTGAGCTGAGGAAAGACACTGGAAAGAAGTATGTTTGTAACAACCCATACAGAGAGGTCTCACTGAGAGAACTGTCTGTCATGAACTGACTACGGCTGTCAATAAAGCCTCAAAAAGCCCTTATAACTCCATAGCCTCTGCTCACCTCTGAAGTTCTTAACATCCTCATTTCTATAAGATGCATCATGATCTCTTGCACAAAGTTCTGACCTAATTTCCCAAGACTTTTCCAGGGATTCAAGACATCATAATCCACAGTAACCACTCTCAAATAGATTGTGACTCAGGCAGCATGTGCTGTCAGCATTGCCCCGCTCCACAGTGACCTGAGGGCTGTGCCAGATCAGGTCACCACAGGGAGCTAGCAGTAGTACTGGTAGTGCCAACAGAGAGCAATAACAGGATAGACTGATTCTGTCAATGAGACAGGGAGAAAAGTCCTTCCCTCTTCAAGCTGGGACACACCTGAGCATTATAGCCGTGTCACAGATCTAGGTTCTCAGGATGAGTACGTGTGTTCAAACAATGCTGTGGCAAAGCAGATAATCCTGCAGAAGTATCTCTTTTTGTGCTTGGATATAACCACTTTCTATTACTATGTGCCAGGTGAACTCAGATGCTGTACTACAGAAATCACATAAAAATACACCAGAAAAAATTTTATGAAGTTATATTTCTGAATGTACACTTTCAAGTCTAAGATAATGGTAACCCTACAATGTTTATCTTACTGCCCCTTAGAAACTATCAGGTGATGGACTTACCCTCTCAGGCTTCAAAATGATGAATTTTTCTTTGTTGTAAAATTGGAGTTGTCACCTGGCTTCACTTAGAGTCTAACTCTTCTAACAAGAGGCAAGCAAGAATTTTGGAGTACTTCTTTTGTTCACTCATTTTTTGAGAAGCAACTAAGAAATAGGGACCATAGCAAGGGGGTGGCTTAAAGTAATGACAGTAATTATTTGTCCTCCATTCTCTAGGGTCTTTTTGAGGAGAAAATCTGGAAATATGTCTAGAATAATTATTACTTCACAAATTGAAAAATTCATAACCATACCAGAGCTATTTGGAACTTAATGGCTTCACCACATCACAAGTCCCATAACATGGGTGAATCCAGCTAGCTGCAGCACAGAATCTTTTTTACATAGAAGTAAGTCACTTCTATGTGTGAAGTAAGCTAAGATATCATTTCTCCTAGAAAAAGAGGAACAACTGTGGGCTGTATTTGTCATTTTTTGGAACCTTTATCTTGCTGGTACATATTCTCTTCCAGAAGAAACAAATCTGATCAGATACAGTGAACATGAATGACCTCTGCATGTAGGTGAGGGTCCAAAACCTGTTTTCTCTTCATAGGCAAAGTTCTGAATAGCATGAAGAAGGAGTGAAATGTGGGCAAGGAACATTTTAAAGAAACTTTCCACCCTTAGCCTTGCTAATTTTTTCCTACCCTCAACCTGCAGTGTGAATTTCTGCATTCCAATTGGTAAATGAGGAAAAGGAGAACTGAATGTGAAGTGGAAAGTTTGAGGCATCCCATTCATGACAGAGTTGAAGTGCATAGCAAAAAAATAGGCTGACTGTCCTGAGTCCTACCACCAGTACTGGCATTTTGTATTGAATATATTTTCCCTCAAGTCTACACAGTTCTTATTCCTATCATTTTTCTTCCAATTATGTAGACTTCCAGCCCTGTACATTCAACATGCTGTCTCCAGCTTCACTGCAGGGCTGGCCTTTTCAATGGCAAACTTTTTGCAGCCTTGAACTGGTTTCCAAGCCATGACAGGAAACAGTCACCTGTTGTAAAGGCAACAGGACCATCCTCAGATACGCACAATGAGAAGGTATTAAAAAAAAAAAAAAAAGTTTCTCACCCATATTTGAAGATCTGGGCTCACAGGAAAACTCAAAGGGGGAACTCTAGCAAGAGAGCCTTCTCTAGTGGCAGTCAGCCCTTAAAATGAGGTCAAAAAGGGATGAAGACAGGCTCCACCCTATTGCCTTCACCTGTGCTTCCAGGGTTGACCAAATCTTCTCTCCAGGTGTTCAATCAGTGATTCAGACCATGACTCAGCAGTTCCTATATACCTGTCCTGTTTCCAGTCTGGGTAAAGGCAATGCTTAAACTGAGTGTTTAATTCTTTTCTAAGTCTTGCCACATCCCCCCATCTCTTTGCCTGCAGTCCAGTCCAGAAAATGGAGAAAAACACCTGCTTCATAAGTCACCTTGTGGGAGACAAACAGCCCTGCTTTGGGATGCCTGTCACAAGCCCCACACATCTTGGTGAAGATTCTGCTGTAGGCTTTGTGCAGGTAGCTGAAACATTCTCAGAGGACAGTCAGAGAGATCCCTGTCTTTGATGACTTGGCAGTCCTATTTGGTCACAAGGCACACAAAAAAACACACGGTTCCTATTGGTCAGTTTTAATATTTCAGGAAAATAGACTTTTTGTCCTTTGTTGTCTCCACAGGAACAGACAATCTCTGCAGCCACTGCGACCATCAGTCCTCTTGTCACTCCTGTTAATAGCTACTACATGGAGATGAGAAGCAAAGAGAAAATATTTGAAAATAACCTCCTGAACTATTAGCTTCTTAAATGCTAGAACTATGCATAGTCTCTTATTAAATGTCAGGAGACTAGAATGACCTGGTTGAGTGATTGTTCAATGTTTTTCAGCATTTTTCTCCCAAACCAGGAAAATCACATCTAGAAGTACCTGGGCAAAATAATTCTTTCAGCTCTGTTCTGTATTTGCATGAAGTGCAAAACTCTACCCTGCCAGTAGCAGACGTGCACAGGAAACACCCCTCAAGGCAGAGTTTGTACTTTGCAGCTGTGATCATCACACAAGCTTCAGCCAAAGGCAAGGAAGGACTGGGATAAGTTCAACACTTTGTCTGCTGTACAACACAATAGTTGCTTTCATAGAGCTTTACTAAAAACAATGGGAAGGGATGTACTGCTGAGAAGGGGTGAGGGGCTACAGTCTTAATTACACTGCATTACTATCTGGAGATTGGAGACTACTTCAAAGCAAGGCTGATGGCACGGGAGCTCACATAAAGGACACAAGCCATTAAAAAATGTACAGTTGCAACTTACAACCCAAAACTGCCTGGGCCATCCCCAGTGGAAAACTGGAAACTCCCACAGTGCTCTATGGGATGGTGTCAGGATGCAGCATGTTCTATGCCAAAATTCTGCTTTGTCCTTCCGGGAGGGATAGTTCCAGACCTGTCCTCACTTCAGGCTGCAACTGACAAGCCATTCCCTTTCCAACTGCCAGTTATGTCATCCCACAATGGAAAATATTACATTGTCCCAGCTTCAGCTTGTTCCTTTGGTTTCCTAAATCCCTGTTTCCTTCCCTGCAATGAGTGTAGCAGGGACTCAGGAGGGAATGGGGTCTCTTTGTTAGCTCTGCCTTCTCACTCCATGTGATGCAGTCACTATGCTTAGTCTTTCCTTCCTCATTCCCATTTTGAGGCTACCAGAGTCTTTCAGCTGTCTCTCTGGCTACAGAATTGTCCTTAGTCTAGTCCTAGATGCTCTGCTACAGACAACTGTTTAATCCTCATTTTTTCTGGATATATACTCTCCACTGATTACCATCCTTCCCTGTTCAGATTGCTTACATTCTTCCCAGACATTCTCTTCTCTCTCTCTCACTCAAAACCCATCATTTCATGATGACACTTTTTGAATCACACAGGGACTTGCTGCCTACCTCAGCTACAGACAGCACTGTACATAGCCAACGCTTGCTCCTCTGCAAAAGGAAATGAGGAAGACAATTACACAAATGTACATGTGCACAAGGAGTAGTGCTCAATGAATTTGCTTGGACACATCCAGAGAACTAGGAATTCAGCTTCCAACCACAGAGTAGGAAGGAAATCGGCAACCCACCTGGCTGGTAGTAATCATAGATTTTGATGACGGTTGGTTTCAGATTCTTCATCTTAATTATTTGTTCCAGTTGCAGAATTAAAGTCTGAGATTCATCACTAAGCTAGTGGAAGGAGGAAGGAAGAAGTCAGTGAATCTTCATCTTCCTAAGCTTGAATTCTTTCCTTTACAAAATCTCTCTCATCCATTCAAGATTCAGGATTTTGGAAATGGAATATGTGAGGAAAACCAAACAAAATAGGCAAGCTTCCTCTCACCACAGTTCTACCAATGTTCTCTACCACAGCCTTGGACTTCTCATACAGTTCCTTGTCCTCCAGCCTCCTGCTCTCATTATGCCAAAACTAATGCTGTCATTTTCGTTTACCTTGTCCAGATAAATGTAGATGACATCAGCTTTCACTTCTATTTTCTTAATGATGGTTTTGCGCTCCAGCTGGGACAGGAAACAACAAAGAAATTTGTGAGCATTTCCCTTATGGAGTCTTGATCTGAGAGACTGTTGTACTGATGGCATAATGTGGAACTGGACTCTGTGTGGGACTATGTCTTTTGCACACACAAGGGTTTTTTGGCTCTATCTTCAGTAGATCCTCCTGGGGAATCCCCTGCAAGCTTCATCTCAGGGATGAACTATGTTGTCCCCACTCAGAGGAACCTCTCACTCTGGGGACAAAAGGCAGTGCATTGTATATAGGGCTGATCATTAAACATGCACCAGTAAAGACTGTTGTTATCACTAACAAGTAGAATGCTCTTAAATACTGTCTGGGGGTTTGTGCAAATAATTCAGCATTCAATTTCATAGACCAATTGGAAAAAAAAACCCACCTTGTTGGCTAGAACTAAAGCCTCTCTAAGACACCTTTCCTCAAAGCTTCTCACAAACAAATGCTGGCATTTAGTACATCCAACAGCATATTCTTTTGGTCCAGAATAGTGTCAGTGGAAGAAGGTGAACCACCTCTTGTAGGAGAAGGTGAACATCTTGTAATAGACCCTTGCAGGACATGTATTGAAATTAAAGTCTTTGGTTCAATATCAGTAGCAAAGGGCCCCTGCTAATGTAGTTACCTCATAGCCTGAAATAAATAGTTCCCAATAGCAGCAAACATGTGGGACATGTTTACCAGAGGCACTCTTTTTCTTATTCCATACCCCTTACCAACATCCTGGATCCTGGAGCCAGGACAAATCCAGACAACAAGGAGACTTCCATGATCACCATGTTGGATGTGCCTCTGCTGCCAGTGTAGCTGAAGAACATCAAACAGTCAGAGGGTCTGATTAGGGAGAGCAGAGCCCTCCCAACTCCCTCTCTACCACCACATCTTGTATATAGGATCCTGAGCCAGAAAGCCTATCTGGAACTGAGACAAAGGCATTTATTTCTCTTCCCATCCCTTCCACCTGCCAGCTTCACCCTCTCTCCTGCCTGTGTCCAGTCCCTCCATTGCAGCTCTGAGGCTTCTCCAGCTGCAGACTGCAAGCATGTGTCTAGTTGGAGGAAGAAATAATTATTAGGGTTACCTGGCAAGAATGCGGACGGTGAGGACATGCATATTGGCCTGGCTACAGTTGGCCAGCACTGTGTTGACATGCAGATTAAAGGCTATGGAGGTCTGTGGAGTTGGCTCATGGTACCTCAGCACTGTCTGCGAGGTGGGGAAAAGACAGACCAGGCACAATCTCATGCAATGAGAAGAGACAGAATTCTCCACCTCTCTCCCACATTCACCTCACCTCCTTACCTGAGCAAACACACAACTTCTGCCTTGGACCTGCACCAAGAACTGCCCTGGGATCTCTGTCAGTTCTGCACGCTGCACAAGGAGACGTTTCTGGCGAGTGACTTGGAATGTCTTTCCAAAATCCCTCTGTGACTTCACCTTCACAAGGGCTTGGCCTGATGTGCTGAACATCCTTGCTGCATATTTTGCTAAAGCTTGCAGAGCAACAACTGTGTCCTAGAGAGGGAGAAACAGTCACCTCCCTGGAAGTATTTTCTCTAGTGAGGCCAGCTTGGAACAGGAAGACCTCAAGAAGACTTGCCCTGTCAACTTCAAGTGGACAAGTAGATGAATCCACATGGAGCTACTTGTTACCTGAGTGGAGGCAAAGCCTCCATAGGCATTCTGCTGCTGGGTCAGCCACACCACAATACCAGCTGCAGTTTTCATATCCCTTGCATGCAGTCGTGGCTTGGAGAGGTATGCCAGGAGTACGTAGGCTGTCAATTCTATGTCCACTGACTGAGTAGTATGCCAGAAGTCTGTGGAAGCTGGGGAGCTTGTTTTGGGACTCCAGTGTATTTGTCCTCCTACAGAAGGAAAAGGAGAGGCTGTCTGAAATGAAAGAAACAGAAGGTTCTAGAAACAGGAAATAAAACTCTAACCCATCTCCTCCCACAAGAGGATGTTTTAATTCTCCAGGCTGAGGAAAAAAATTCTGATATGTTACCCTTTATAGCTTCCTAAATAATATATTACATTTAATGTGATTCAGTTACAACACAAATGCAAGTGTAGCAGGTGTATTTTTTTTCCCTCATCAAGCCTCTTCCATAGGTTAGCATATTTGATTATAAACTCTAGGCAGGCAAAATGCACAGACACATTGCTCCAAATCCCAGCAACTGAACAAAAGGTACTGCCCCAACAGTCAGCACCTGACTTGATGGCCTGTTCCTCCAACTTGTACAGCAGCTCCTGGGTTATCTCATAGTCTCCAGCCAGGGCAAAAGCATAGGCCAGCACAGCTTCTGTGTATGTGTTGGTGATGTTGTGAACTGCATGCTGTAGGCAGCGGAAGATAGTCTGCATCAACTTGCCCTGCATTCATAGAAGAGAAAAATGCCAAACTCTGAGGTACAAAGAAGGTATCAGGCTCTTTCTGGTGGTTGTTCCAAGGAGCCAGACTTTATCTTTATAGTGTGGCTCCAGAGAAACCCATTAAACTACCACCCTCTCTTGAGAAAAAAAAGGCAGTTCAATCCCATTGTGCACTGGAAACCATAGCCACCAAATGTTATTGCTTTATGCTAGTGTTACAATGCTGTCTCTTAGAAGGAGTTAACAATTTCCCCAAACACTGGGACCCTCTTAGCAGCACCTGATCTGTTTATGGCCTGCAGAAGCCCAGGGTTTTGAGTTTTTTTTACCATTGCAGGGTGCAGGCATGGGAGAGTAAAGGACAACAGCGGGTAGCAGGGCTCTGCTCACCTTCAGCGGCTGACCCAGCTCCAGCAGTGCTGCAGCGACATATGCTCCCAAGGAGATTTCATCATCCAGGCTGCCCTGTGGAGGGAATCCATCACCAGATATCAAGCACAGGGGACAAAGTGTGAGGAGTCATCAATTGCCAGAGATACTTTGCAGGTGAGAGATTCCATCTAGGCAGAGACACACCACTACACCTGGAGCTTCTCATTAAGCATGGATTCCACAGCTCTCATGTGTCCTCCCAGACTGTGCAAAGACCTGAAGCACCTTTCACTCTCTAAGTAGTGTTTGAAGAGCTCAGAGAGTGACTTCCAAAAAGAAGCATTTCTTATGCTTTCCCTGCCTCATACCCTGTTCTCTTTCAGGCTGGTTGCATGAGTTGTGGAAGTGACTTTCCAGGATCCCACAACCCTTTGCCACCACAATATTTGTTCCACCATTCCCCAGCTGTGCTTCCTGACTTGGCTCTCATTTACCTTCAGAGAGGAATGAAAGAGATTTCCTTTGGTAGCAAAGCAGCCACTGGGGAGCTGGTTTTGCTCCAGCCAGCGTAGGGCATCCTGGATATTCTTGTCATCTATATAGATATATTTCTTGGCTTGGCCAAAACTCTTGGCTACAAAAGCTGTCAGCCTAGGAAGAGGATGAGTTGTGAGAGAAATAGAAACACAAAAACACAAAAAGAAAGGCTAATGCTTCTGGAGGCATTTGACTTTTCTGATACACTGTGGGTGCTTTAAAAATGTCTCTTTCCCAGGAAAAGCAAGCTAAAAGTGAAAAGTAACTCCTCTCCCTCACCCTTGGTCCACGCAGTCATGCATGTACTACTGCATAACTCAGTATTTCACAAATGAAAAATCTCTGGCCTACTTTTACCTCTTGCACCTCATCTCCCTTGAATACATAGAGACAATACTGAATTTCCATTCCTTTCACTTCTCTGAGCCCAGCCATCACAATGCCAATGGAATTCTTTGAAACTCTCATAAGCAACTCCCTCACTGGGAAAGCAATTTCTCATTGCCTTTCCCTGATGTTTCTCCAGTCAGAATGTACCCCTCTTGGCTGCTTGGGCATCACAGGAAGAACCTGGTGCTGTGTTTGGGTCCACAAAGAGAAAAAGGGATCTCCTGCCCCCTGGGATGATACCTTTGTGTTCCACTTTCCCAGCAGCTCTGCTGCCCTGCCTGACTCCTTTTTAAAGTGTCTCAAATCCCTCAATCTGTTTCCAAAACAGAGAACACACATCCTACCAGCCATTCACTGGCACATTAGTTGCCCTGGCCCAGACAGTACAAATTAAGAACAAGAATTATTCCCAGTGCTTACCAAGTGTTTCCTTCCCCATCCTGCTGCCCAAAGACACTGTAAGACCCATCTCTATGCCTATAAAGAAGCTGTGTCTGGTAGCCTGGGGAGATGGGAACAGGCATTAATAAAGCATAGTAATTCAGAAGGGCCAGCACTGACAGAATGACTGGGAGGGAGAAAGCTGTTAGTACATTGGACATGGGGGACATTGGTGAATCTGTTGTACTTGCCATTGCGCAAGAATCCGGTTGCTCTCTCCTTGATCACAGGGGTCAGTTGTCTTGTCTTCTCCAGGTACTGTAGCACATAGACAATGGGAGTAAACAGCACCATATTCTGCTCCCCACAGCCATGGGGCATCTGCACCAGGCGGTCCAGGTTCTGTAGTGGCAGCCCCATGAGGTCACCTGTGCAACAGTATAAGAAAGAAGGCAAATTTAAGTAAAATTTGAGATAATCCTCAACTAGGCATTTGATAATAGTGTGTAATCCCAGCAAAGAAGGAAAATACTAGAGAAGGGAAAGAAACAATTGAATGCAGAATGAAGCAAGATGACTATTTTGCATCTGCTCTTTCTTGGGGGGATGTGATACAGGATGATTCCTCTATGGACTTCTCTCAGAACTTTTCAGTATGAAGGGCTCCAACCATAGCAAGTGCTGTTGTAAAATGCTATGAGCAGGGCTAAAATTGCTCAGGCAGTGTCATGCAGACATACAGGTATAAAAGCTCTTACACAAAGTTTGAGATGCCTCAGGTTTTTAGGTAGGCCTATTCTACTTGGCCATATTTTGAACATCAAAATATCACTAAGCCAGTAGTGGTGCTAATCAGATGTCATGAAAGTGTCTGTGTGTTCCTCAACCAGTGAGAAAATTCCTTTATTTGAGAAATTATGCCAGGCCTAGCTTCATACCAGTTCTGTCATTGGTGGTGAAGGAGTCAAGTGCAAAGAAGCATAATGAATGGTAAGTATGTCTGGTCCCAGTAGTCTCTCCCAAAAATTCTTTTGCAGCTTAGCAATGCTTAGAAAGATTTCTCCTCTCTAGTAGCTTTTACTGTAGCAATGAAACTTAATGGAGAATAAGACAGTTCTTAATTTTAAGGACAGTATCTACAAAAACTAGCCAGGCTCCCAAAGTCCCAGAAAATTTGGCTTTCAGGCTCTGCTCCAAAGTCCTAGCCAGAAAAATGAGGGTTATTCTTCTCTGCAAATTGGTTTTCCCATGAAAATCTAAGAGCTAATAAACATACAGAAAACCTGGTGTTGTCCGATCTTACAAAGCAGTGAAACTTAGTGTCCTCTCTTTTGAGCAGTGTCATTTCAAATGGATACCCTGACATCGTTACCAAGTTAGACCTTTCTCTTCTGTAATAGCAGTCAGTAAGCTACTTGACTTACTTGAGATGGAAACTGATGCACTGGCAGATCCCTTTATTACATTATTAGGGAGGACAATCAGCCTAGGTTCTTCAGCCATGTTTCCTGATAACAATAGGGAAAAGGTTCAGTATGAAAAATCAAATCTAAAGTACCTAATCTGACAGGCAACACTGGAACAGATAAATGGAACACTGTCTATATCCTGTTCATGCAGAGTGCTCTCTATAGGCTGTCCCAGTCATCACTCCATTGCTTGGAAACATCTATTAGAAATAACTTGAGAGGTGCTGGACAGGATGAGAGACAACCGAGCTTCACAACTCCATCTGCCATCCTTCACAAGTTCCACAAAGATCACAGCTGGTTATTATTAGTCAGGGACATCCTAGAGGGACTTGCAGCGCTGCAGGGACAGAGTGGTATGGCAGGAGCTCCTCATTTACTGATTATCATGCTCCAGGAACATCCAGGAGTTGCAGTGGGAAAGGAGGCAACACAGCACAAATTTGCCACCTAAATTCAGGGGCAAATTCAACAGGGAAGCAAGTGTGGAAGTAATATTTCCTGTCCTTTTCTGTCCTAATAAGAAATTAAATTTCCTATGTGAAAAATCATTTGAAAATATTCTTTCATCAGTTCTCCCACAGTTCAGTCCTACTCTCAAGTCAATTTCTTTTCAGTCTGCAGGACCCATTCAACCCGTCTACATACCTCCTCTTGGGCACAAAAGGGAGCCGTAAGACTTCTCCACTAGCACACCTTCTGGCTGCCAGGGCAGAAATAAAGGCATGAGATGTAAGGAACAAGATAATGCACAAAATTCCCAAGCAGCAGCAAAATTGGAGAGCAGTTTTAGGTCTGAAGTAAGGGGTTAGTCCACAAGCTGTCAAGGACTCCATCCTCCTCACCTTTGGCAGGGCTGCACTGAAACTGTCTGATTAAGAAATCAAAAGTACGCATGTGAGACAGGACTCTCTTTTCAGTGAGCATATGCAAAAATTCATGAACAGCCGGTGATTGAGCAGGAAGGAAAGGGAAGGGAAGCAACACAGTTATGGCATACAAATGCAGCTCAAGAAAGAGTAATGCAAGGGGGGAATAGGCTTGACTAGGTCCTGGGGAAAACAAAGCAAACTAAGACCAGGCTGGGGAAGAAAAAAAAAAAAAAAAAGCAGAGAGAAGCTGCTTAGCACAGCTCAATCTCCCTTCACTCATGCAAAGATAGTCTGGGAGAGAAATGAACCCACTCTCATACTGACCCGAACCAGCAAGTGTTTGATCAGAGCATGCCTCCGCCTCATGGTAGCTGGCAAGGGCTTCCTGCCCCCACAGCGTGGTGCTGTGTCCAGTAGTTCAGTCCTGATTGTGATATTCAGAGTCCCTAGCAAATAAATGGAACAGAGCTTGTTTCTTATGTCTGTAGGCAAACCTTAACTAAAACTGGTCTCACGTCCTGAAGGAAGCTTGTCCTCATAGATTTAGCAGCTTAACAGGCAAAGATGAGCCAGTCAGTGCTGACAGCTTGTTCAGACAGCTTAAGTATAAAGGTAATGCCTCACCAACAGTGACTATAATCCACTACATGTGACTGTAATGTAAGAAAGTTCAATTCCTTGGTCTCCAGTGATACCTTCCCATTTTCATATGAAGTATAGCACCATAGTGGGTTCCCCCACTCCAATCTGTGAAGCCTCTTTTTCCCCAGCTGCTCCTACATCTTTCTCCCCAGGAATTCTCCATGTCACCCTTTCAGTTCCTTCTAAGAGCCTGTCTAAGACGGGAAAAAGAAAGCAAGTACAGTGGTTTGCATTCTTGTACTACTAAAAACAAACTTTGGGTTGGACTGAAGACAAGGTTCTGCAAGCTTTTCTGGATCTCCCACTCCCTTTCACTTCAGTTTTAGGGTTCCCCACAACTGCTCCCATTTTTCCTTTCACACCCAGCTGGGTTGCTGTCACATTCCATGTGAAGGTCTTGGACTCTTCCGCACACAAGCACTCTCTATCCCTGCAGGTCTGGCAGTCCTCCACCTGGAAGCCCAGCAATTTATCTAGGGCCACATGTATCTGAAAGAGTGATGATACAGGAGAATGACTGAGCAGCTCTGGAAAGATGAGGTAGTACATGTTCTGTAAAAATGGAGGGCTTGATAGGCCTGTCCCATACAGTATTTCCTGTGGCTCAGGCACATTACCTGTAGGCACTGCTGTAGGTAGTTGAAGACAGTAGCCTTCAGCATGAAAGTCTCTCCTCGGATCACAGAATATGGCAATGTCACATCCACAAAGACAGGCTGGACTGTTCTGAGACTCGTGGTTGGAGCAAGGCCAAATGTCTTCCCAGACAAGCAGAACATCTTGACCTTCCACTTTGTGACAGCATCAGGTGTTGTGACTGGAACACTCCTGCTGCCATTGGAGCTGAGAAGAAGAGAGCACTTGCATAAATAAATTTGTCCCATCTCACTGTAATGGGGAGAACTCAAAAGTCTCAGATGAGGGATGCAGTACAGATACTCAGTCTCAGATCAACCTCTGCTCTGTCATAAATTACTTCCCCTCCAGTGTCTCAGAGCAATGCAGCTCCCTGAATCTATTCCCTAAAGTCATATTTCCTGCTTAAATGCTGTCAGCAATGATGTTATACTCTTTTCCCAAACAAGACACTGACCCAGCATTCCAGCTATGTACACTCAAGCCAACAGAATGGTGCCTTGGAAAGCAGCAGCACCACGTTCCCCTGAAAGCTGATTAGTCCTAATGCAAGCACTGTGGCAACAAAGGCTACACATTTAACTGGTGCACCCACCAAATTGTGAAGTCTAAGTAGAGTGTAGACTAGTGTTTGAGAGGATACTCAGTATTTTGATCAAAAGAAGCACTGATCTTTTCTAAGAATGTATGGAGCTCTGCTCCTCAAAGACCACTAGTCCTTCATTCAGACGCACTATAAGTTTAGGAAAGAGCCATAAAATTCATACACAGACCTCTCTTCACACCTATGAGTGGTTTTTTGAATGGACACAAGTTAATAACAAGGGTTCGTTCTTCTATCTGATTGTGAAGTCTGGCATCACTTACCCAACAAAGAAGAGATTCCAGATCCAAGTTTCAGGCAAAGAGTTGTGAAATCTTCCTTGGGTTGTAAACTGGGGTTGTTCCTTAGTAATTCTTTGATCTTCCATAGAAGGTACCCCTGAAAGAAAGACTAAAGTTTCGCGCTACAGCAGGAATCTAGGAATGAACGCTGTTAATGACAGACAGTCAAGCACTGGGGCAAGAGGCAAAGCAAGTGAAAAGAGTCAGGCAGAGACTGACACAAGAGACTGAGATGACCTGGTAGGAGAGGGAAAATAGGAAGAGGAGAAAAAATGGTAACGGAAGAATCAGTGGCAGTATCATAGCCAATGACGCATGAGTATTGCTCATTGAAACCAGCTGGCAGGTCTAGAAGTTTACAGAGATTTGGCTGGACAAAGCCCTTGCTGACATGATCAAAAGTTGCTGCTAAAAAATTAATGAATCTCTAGAGGGCTCTTTTAACCAATATTACCATAGAATCATAAAATCATAGAATAGCTGAGGTTGGAGGAGACCTTAAAGATCATCTAGTTCCAACCTCCCTGCCACGGACAAGTTGCCAGCCACTAGATCAGGCTACCCAGGATCCCACACAACCTGGCCTTGAATGCCTCTAGAGATGGGGCATTCACAACCTCTCTGGGAAACCTGTTCCAGTGCCTCATCACCCTCTGAGTATAAAAATTCTTCCTAAAATCTAACCTAAATCTTCCCTCTTTTAGTTTAAACCCATTCTCCCTTGTTCTACCACTATCATACTATGCAAAATAGGTTCTTCTCTTGCTTATAAGCTCCTTTCAAGTACTGGAAGTCCACAATTAGGTCCTCCTGGAGCCTTCTCTTCTCCAAAACAAACAAGCTGAACTCCCTCAACCTTCCTTCATAAGTGATGCGTTCCATTTCTCTGATCATCTTCATTGTTCTCTTCTGGACTTTCAACAGCTCTGCATCCTTTGAAAACTGGGGTCCTTGGGCTTGGACGCAGTACTCCAGTTAGAGCCTCATGAGGGCAAAGTAGAGGGGAAGAATCACCTCCCTCTCCTAACTGGTCACTCCTCTTTTGATGCATCCCAGGATATAGTTAGCTTTCAGGGCTGCAGCTGCATGCTGCCAGCTCACGTCCAGCTTTTTGTTGACCAGGACCCCCAACCCCTTCTCCACAGAGCTGCTCTCAAAGAGTTCTCCCAATCTGTACTTTTATCTGGGATTACTTCAAGTCAAGTGCAACACCTTGCACTTGGCTTTATTAAACCTCATTAAATTCTCATGTGCCTTCTTCTTGAGCTTGTCCAAGTCCCTCTGGATAACATCCCTCCCGTCTTTTGTGTCAGCTACACCACTTACCCTAGTGTCATCTGCAAACTTGCTGAGGGTGCACTCAATCCTACTGACCATCATAAGGATGCTGAAGAGCACTGGACACAAGTCAAACACCTATGGAACATTACTTATCACTGGTTTCAACCTGGACATGGAGCCATTGACTATAACCCTCTGACTATGACCATCCAACCAATTATTTTTACACCTAATAGCCTTCAAATACTTATACCTCCTTAGAGATAAGGATGTGGTAGGTGACCTAATCAAAGGCTGCAAACCAGTCAAGGTAGATTACATCAGTTGCAACCTTCCTTTGTCCACTGGTGCCATCACTCCATCATAGAAGGCCACTGGATTGTTCTTGCCTGTTCTGATCTGCCCTTGGTGAAGTCATCCTGTCAGTCTTGGATCACTTCCTCATCTCACACATGCCTTAACATGTCTTCCAGGAGGATCTGCTCCATGATATTCTCAGGCACAGAGGTGAGGCTCACTGGCCTGCAGTTCCGAGTCTTCTTTTTTTCCCTTTCTTCAATATGGGAGAAATGTTCCCTTTTTCCAGCCAGTGGGGACTTCGCCTGACAGCCACGAATTTTAAAATATGATGGACAGTGGCTTGACAACCACACCAGCCAGTTCCTTTAGAACTCTGGGATGCATGTCATCTGGCCCCATAGACTTATACACATTCAGCCTCATGAGGTAGTCTCAGATTTGCTCCAGTCTTACAGTGGGAGGAATTTTGCTCCCTCCTCTCCTGTCTAGAAGTTCAGGCGCACAAGAGGCATGGGAAGCCTGCCATGCAATGAAGACTGAGACAAGGAACTCATTAAGAACTTCAGTCCACTGCATCCTGATCACATCCCTGCATATCTGGACAACATCCCTATATCCTTCCCAGGCCACCCCTCCTTGCTTCCACTGCTTATACTTTTCCTTTTTTTGCTCTCAGCATGACCAGCAGGTCCTTGTGCAGTAATGCTGGTTTCCTGTCTCATCTGCTTTATTTCTTATTTTGGGGGACAGAGAGCTCTTGTGCTCTCAGAAAGGTGAGTGTAAGTGTTTAATTCTGTGCACAACAATATTCCTGTTTGCTTGCTTGCAGAAAACTCACAGCCCTTTGCAAACAACTGTAGTTTAAATATCAACAGGCAGATGAGTTAGTTTGGGAATATTATTTTGTGCAAATTGAGAAACAGAAGAAGGAAACAACAGCCCTCATAGTCATGTTTGGAAACAAACCAGGCCACAACACAGCCTGTAGTATAATCACTAGGAAACACTTCCAGATCTTGGTCTGTGCTCAGGTTTGTCTGTATCAGTAAATGGAACACCATCCTTCAACATCAGAGAACACACAAATAGCGACATACTTCAAAGTTTGTTTCTTTTTTTCTTTTTACAGTGACTTAGACATTCCTACTGAGGGTTGATAGACCTGGCAGTGAGGCTGTGACAGCATCATTCATACTCCTCACCACTGGCAAACTCCAGTGATCAGAAGGCTTATCTACCTATGTGACCTCAGACCTCAGCACAAAGGTAGGCAGAAAGTACAGCTCACCCATGGTCGGCTTCCTCTCTGCCTGCTGAGTGCACTGAGTTGGCTTCTTGATTATAAGGTTTGAGAAGACTTTCAGACCCATGTTCTGTTGGAAAAAGAAGGAGGGCAAGGGAAATAGAAAAGCAGATGTGAGTGGGGAAGAGCAGCATTGCTCCTCAAAATGACCCTGAAAATCATCCCAGCTAGGAAAGCCAGTTGCCCAGGCAGCTAAAAGTCGCACTTTCCCAAACAGACACCATGCTGAGGAGGTAAGGTTCAGCCTCCCCAGTCCCTTCTTTTACTAAACAAGTACCTCTGTTCTGTGGGACAGACAGATATCTTGCTCCTCTCAACACATTTCCATTGCCAGTGCCCCGTTCCTTCCCCTCATGTGCACCAGAGGGAATAGGTGGAATTAAATATGCCATCTGAAACACAGACTGTGATGAAGAGCTTACTCCCTCATTCTTCCTCTAAAGCTGTGACATGTGCCTATCCACAAACACAGGAACCACTCCTGTGCTGTAAAAGAGCCTGCTAGGATGTGGCTAAATAAAAGAGAACAGGATCTGATCCCCATGCCCAAGGCCAAATGGCCTTGCTAGTCTTGTATTCACACAGCTTAAGTCCAATCATTTCTATTTGTAAAAAGGACGCCTACCTTGAAGAAGGCAGAAGATCTACCTTGGAAGAGTCCAAAACACTATTAGAGAGAAGGCTAATGATTTGGTCACATAAACAATTTGTAGTCTGTTGGTTGGGACCATTCCTTGTCTGTCTCTTCCCTATTAATGTAAACAAACATTACACATGCCCATGACTTCTTTCCTAAATCCATAAATCTGGTTTCTGCTGGATCAGGACCTTATCAACTTTCATTTTGCATCTGTGCAGGGGAATAAAGTTACGCAAACTAATAATGGTATCTCACATCTTGTGAGAAAGCACAGCTATGTCAGGACAGAATGCAGCAGTTTTCTGGAGAAGGCAAGGTTTTATCAGATTTCTTGGGAAGAAAAATATCTCAGATGTACATAATTTTGGTAGCCCTGGGAAAATACATAGTTGATTACCCAGAAGAGGTTGAAAATATCAGGCTGAAAAGGATGCTGTGATTTTCCTTGGAGCCAAGAGGACACGACCGGGGACTGAAAACAGTGGTCTGAATACTCTTCTACTTGGACAGGATATCCATGTCTGTAGATAGCAGGGAACAAGCCATATACCTAGGGAAACTCACAGGCAGGGAAGAATCAGGCAATGAGCTAATAGCTCCATCCTCCATCCTCCTGCTTCACTCCATCCTCCTACCCAGCATACATCTTTCCATCTGTCAAGGCAGACCCTGCTTCCTACTCTAACTTCTCCACACAAAGACCCCCTCATTCATTAGCCTCCAGTTCCCTTTGCCACAGTTTCTGCCTATCTCTCCTAGCTCATACATCACTCCTGCTTTTATATTTTGGCTAGTTGCACTCACCTTTTGGCTTGTCAGCTCATTCTTCGGTCTCACGAGGAACACATTTTCATCCACTGCCTGTACTGCACACATGGAGCCAGGGGCTGCCTCAAGTTGGAGCTGCACTATTGACCCTGTGTGGTGTTCTTTAGCTGGGAAATCTACCTTGACCTTGAGCAACACACCAAGAAAAGAAGCATGAAAAAGAGAGAAAGAAAGGTGAGGAGGCTGACGGATACATAAGCACGGCTCTTCCTCAGCTTTAGGTGTGAGTCTCACCTGGTTTTGAAAGCACAAGGCAACATCAAAACGGATGCTATCAGCTGTCACTCCTCCATTGGGGAAGATCGTATACACCACTAAGCAAGGTGAAGGGGTGAAGTCAGCAGTGAAGGTCAGTGGGATAAAGAAAGAGCCTTTCAGCACTGAGGAAATAAAATGAAAATGTTGCTCTGTTTGCCCTCTCTCTCCACTATCTAACCCCATCTACTCCATCTCTTCACAGTTTTTCCCAGTCCCTCCTCCCTTCATTAATTCTTTTTTTTCTGCTGTTTCTCCTCTCCCAGATGGTACACTTTCTTCCTCCATCTCCCTCTGTCCTGTTTGCTGACAGCCCAGGAGCTGTAGTTTCAGGCAGTTCAGGAGAAACTCCAGCACCTTTCACCATCTGACCTAGAAACCCAATAGGCCAAACCGTTTCCTGTAGGTCAGCCAGGCCACTGCAGACTTACTGTTCAGCTTTCCAACCTGGACACTTCTCCAACCTCTGTTGACAATGCCAGCCTTTCCAGTGACCTGAAGGGTGAGAACACTGAATGAGGAGATTGCTGTTTGAAACCAGGACACACACTCAGTCTGTGTGCATTTTGCACTCTTAAGCAACCACAAGAATGAACTGTTGGTCCAATTCATCTTCATATTTCAGGCTTGGCAGATTTACAGATACCACAGTGGGAGAGAAGCAGCAGCTTCTATAGATGAGATTCTGGTGACCTGGACCTGTGACCTGTGGTCCAGGTAGTGGATTTACTGAATGAAAGAGAGTGAGAGCTAAGGTATTTCCCCTCTAGCAGGTGTGCTTCCAAACCAGAAGCCATTTCCACTGAACAGCTGCTTGATAACCAATGTGAAAAGCGATCCTTCCATCCAGTTCCCAAAGGGAGAAGAGTATGAGAGCAGATTCTGAGTAAAACATTTCCATCTCCCATTGCAAAATGGGCTGAAGATAAGGGTACAGTGAGTTGCAAAGGTGACCTGAGTGGGATGTCTGAGCTCCGCACATGTGTAGAATCCCCCATGAACAAGCCCATATTGTCATTACTTTAGGGATGTTCTAAATTATGCAGTAATACTTCACTACAGTCTGGTCTCATAAGTACTATCTTCCCCCATCTAGGTTCTTGTCTACCTTACTCACATAATATGCAAAATCAATGCGGTTGGTGTCTTCTCCCACATCAGCCCTACTGAGTGTGAAGGTCACCTGGACACTCTGCTTCAGCCCACAGGGCAGTTTCCCTGTGAGTGGGTGTATTTTCAGGAAGCTCTTGGTTGTGACATGGAAGGGCTGCAGGTGATGGTAGGCATTTATATAACTGATACTAGTTTTCCAAGGTTTTTGCGTTACATTCTCCAGTGTGAACCTTCCCTGGGACGGAAACAGAGACATACAGAAACAGAGACATAGGACACATACTTCAATGCTCTGTTAAGATGCCCTTCAATCAGTTTGGAAAAGGCTTGTCATTGTTTTCTTATAGCTCTGTACTGGCAGAGCTGTGTGGGGAACCCAGAATTGAACTGGCAGGGTACTGCAGGGCAGGAGTGGGAGCACTAGCACAGCACAAGGTTTATCACTTTCCTGCATGCAGAGGTGGAATTTACCTCCAAAGACACTGAGGAGGTGTTCCAGGCAGTTGTGTCCAGGTTGAATGATGCTCTTCCACTGCTGTCTGTGACATATGTTTTAATAAGCTGACGCTTCATGAACTTTATAATGAGATTCACTTTTCTGTTTTTCATACTATTTCCATAGTGGTCCTGAAGCTTAATCTGGTGAGAATAGGGAAGACAGAAAAGCCAAGGTCAGACGTGTGTTTCAGTGTCATACCCAAAACCTTCCTCCCCATACACGTCTTCTTCCTGTTTTGGTGGGCTTCAATCTGACTCCAAGATAGAAAATCTGTAAAACCCCCATATCTCTGAAGATAAGCTGAGGGTGATTTAAAACTATCTTCTCCAAAAGGAGTGTGTGACTAGAGCATGAGGAATTCAGGCCCTAGCCAACAGCTGAGAAATACTTGCAAAAATCATTCACTGATTCTAGCAGAAGCCACAGATGTAATCACATGAGAGAATCTGAAATGCAGAAACTGGAGCTATACTGCACCATCAAGTAACATGACACACTGTAAGGTAAGCTACTCTAAGGAACAGAAATTGGTCTGGGTCAAAAAAATTTGCTTGACACTAAATTCATTGGTAAATAATGGGAAGGGAAGAAGCAAGGGAAAAGTCACCTTTCCCTTGAAGGGTACTCCAGGGATATAGTAAGCATTTGGTGTCTCAAACACTACACTTGCAGCTGTCCTGGAAATGACAATTTGGCTGGACGTGTTGATTTGGACTCCTGTTGGAAGGTAGAGAAGTAAGATCAGTATCAAAAATGACCACCTAGTTTAATCTTACTTTGTTATTCCCAGGGCTTCTGATTGGAATGTCTCAGATTCCCAAATTAGCACATTTCAAGGTGTGCAGGCTGTTCCTGTGGCAGTTTTGCGTGGGTATTCCTAAGTTATGAAAGACCACATGCCCACACCTCATCTGCCTGCTGCTGGACAGATCAAGATCTTCAAGCATGCGCACACTTTGAGTCTTCTAGTGGCCCCAGTACATGGCAGTACAGGAGGAGGTATGCCTGCTCTGATGCTAATCTCCAGGAAAGGACTCTCTCATCCTTACACAATCTCTGCTTCAAATGATTGTAAGCTTCTGGGTACAGGTACCTGTGCCTTCCTCCAGGAGAGAAGCTTCTGCATAGATTTTGCTGTCTTCCTCACTGGGAGACAGATTAAATACTGTTGTGCTTACTGAAGATGTGAAGCACCCCTTCCTTGCTGTCTGCAATGGGAAAAGGTAGATATAATTAGAGGCTGGGGAGAAGGGAAGGAATTTAAAGTACACAACATTAGACATTCTGCCATAATTGTTGATTGCAACAAGTAATAATGTGGACTCATATATTGTTCCCATTTTAAATTTGGTATCTTTAATGCTATATGCATGAATATGTGCAATTCATATCATAGAAATATAAACAAATCACTTATCACAGCTACATTAAAGTTACAATGTTGGTAACTTTCCAGCTTTAGTAGGGAACTCAAGGCTGCACTAACTGGATCACAAAGCAAGTATACAAGTATTTTAAGAGACCTGACTGGGAGAACTGCAGAATTAAAATGAATCTGCAGAATAAAAGTAACTAATTGTTCTCAAACCTGGAAGATTACAAGTACCATACTATATCATAATGACAAATCATAAAGCATGAAAAGTACTAATCATTTATGCAGAAGGGAAGGATCTACGATGTACTTTTTTTAGGGATGGAAAAAATGAAAGAACATTTTAAAAAAAAAAAAAGGTAAAAAGAAGTGTCTGTGTGAATCAGCTGTTGAAATAACCTTGTCTACACCTGTACAGAGGCATTTTTGTGCAGCTCCAGGGAGGGTGCACCATAACACTGTATTTTTGTATCTGAGAAAGTTCTATTAATTGATGTTTCTTACACTGTGTCTACTCCTGGCTAGTTATGCTTCACTACAGAAAAGAACAAGTTTTTCTTCTTCTTTTCTTCAAGTTTTGTCTGTAAAATTCCTCTTTTCTGTTCCCTATCCCTATAACAAAAATAACAAAGAATTTCTAGTAGTAAAGGCATGTCTGTTGGCCTGGGTAACAGTAATTGCATTAATTAAATAAAAATGATTACTTATTAGCCTACAGATACATTACAGAGGTTGGCAAACCTCCCTTAAGTAGGGATTCATTCTGTTCTCACAGCCCTTGAAACGTGGTCCTATGTGGAAGTCCTCCACTACCCATATATCTTCCAGAATCTTACTCACCAGACCACTGTATTCTCTACAGATATCTTTGCTGGCATCTTGAGGACACCCCTTTGCCTTCTGGCACAAAGTAACCCACACAGTTCCTTTCACTGCTTTCCCATAATTATACCTGCAGGGGGAACACCACATGAGCTGCCATGCAGAGAATTGCTGTATGATTTGCTGAGCACATTACTCCACACAGGTGAACATCCTGACATAGATCTTAATGTAGTTTGTAAGCAAGCAAGAACAAGTGAAAATACAGCAGTTTGTATAATTGGGAAGTATAACATGGTCAGAAACAGAGCCTAGGCAGGAAAGCAATCACACTTTCCAATGCTCTCCCACTTCTGGGTGCTTAGCATCCTGGAATTGCAGGCAGAAGCAAAGAGCTGATCTAAGCTGATGTGTCCACACAGCAACCAGTAAATACAGAACAGATATAAAAGAAGCAGAAGCCTGTATCCCCATAAACATCAACCAGGTGGCATGACAGTGTATGGGAACTGTTGAGTCACAGCTTGAACCACTGATTGAGCACCTGGGGAAAGGACTGAGTCAGCCCTGAGAGCATAGGTGAAGGCAATTCAGCTGTGTGACTGGAAGGGGTGGAGCCTGGCTGCACCTCTCTTAGACCTTATTTAAGGGCTGACTGTCACTAGAGAAAGATCTCTTTGTGGAAATTTCTCCATGGTGAAGCTTTCTCCTGCAAATGTTGAGTCTTCTGATGTGGGTGAGTGATCTTCTTTTCCTTTGTAGCACTTTTCTGTCATGCTGATTCTTCTGTCATCACATCTTTTTTGTAATATCTTTTCCATTGTATCAGTCCATCTATTGCTACAGACAGTGCTAGAATTTCACAGAATTTTCCTTCCTGGTATTGGCTATTAGCCTTATGAAGGCAGTTCAAGTGTCTCTACCCCCCCCACCCGGTGCACACATCCTATCCCATGCATCCATCAGAAGCATTTTTCATTGTCGTGCTGAATACTACATCACTGTAAATTAAGAGGTGATTAAATGGTTGGTAGAACAAATGTAAAGCTCATGCTCAGTGGCTTGAAAATCTATTGTTTGTTCAGCAAACTGGCTTTCTATGTGTCTGTTAACAGGTCTATTTAATTGCAGATGTGGAAGAATCTCTGCAGCAGTATCTGCCGGAGCCTTGCATGTACCAGTAAGCTTTCCTTACAATCTCTTTCCTTCGTTTCCAGGACTTTGGTTGAAAGCCAGCTCTGATATGCTGAAGCTTATAGTGATCTTATAGTAAAAGCTGTTAGAAGCTTCACTGGCACCCATCTACTTGGTATCTGTATTTAAGCTCCCAACTCTAAGCTACACTGTAGGCATGCCTATACCAGGCCATATGCTTCACTGTTCCTCAGCCTTACTCATTGACTTCACTTGCAGGATGGATTGACTTCAGACCTTTCTCCTCGCTATGGGCTTATTTCATAATCTCAACTCTTGTTTTCATTATCAGACCTGCTGTCGTTTTTGTAGCTCAGCTACAGCAGAACCTAGACCTCACCAGTGTAGACATTTGTGCTGCCTGCCCTGTTTCCCTTCCTTTCCTTGTCCCTATTCTGGTCTTTCTACAGCAGTGTTTCCTGACTGTAGCAGTGACAGGAAAATATTCAAGAACCACCCTGAGGATGCAGAACACTATACTGTTTTCTACTAGTTCTTCATATACTCTTATGTTAAATGGCCCAATTAATAAGAAATTATGCTAGTCCATTAACAAAGAGGCAGCAATAATTTCAAGACAACCCAGCTCCAATATGGTTCAGATCACCTCTTTTGTCTGTCCATGGAGTGTTTTCTAGAATATTCTTTCTTCCTTCATGCTCATATCTTCTGGGGTGTAAGCCTTCTGCTTTACATTCCTGTATGTTCAGTTTTTGCTAATGATTGCAGAATGAGAAAAATCTACCTGCTGCTCTGAAGGAGGAGATATTTCATGCTGCTGAACTTAACGTTATATTCTAAAGAAACATCAGCTCCTGATCCTGTACCTCAACAGATTGGTTCCATATCAAATACGTGTGTTTCCCCAGATCATATCTTTGATGGTCAGACACACGCAGCTTCCAGTACTGGTTATCTCTTGACTATAACAAGTCCCTCTATAGCTGGATGGTCTCTCCCGGGTGTGGATCACGAACATCTTTCCCAAATAAGAACTCTACAGTTTGACTCTAGCACTACTTATGATTTAAAAAAAAAAAAAAAGTTTGTTTCGCTCTTCTTGAGCCACCTCTTTCTCGGATTCAAGAGAGGAAACAGTCATGATTTCCTTTCTCCAGAATTGTCTCCTCACCTGCCACACACACTCAGAAGGAAAGTTTTATCTGAAGCATAAATCCGAGCTGGTCCTTTGAAGAAAACATCAAACTTTTGCAACACTGGAACAAAAAAAACAGAGTTACTTTGTCAAAGGCAGCAGTCTACCTAGACGTGAGATTATTAATAGGAAGAGTCTATTATTGTAAGACTGCAGTCCTGTGAAGGAACATGCTTAGGAGATGAAAGCAAGGACTAATTAAAAACAGGAAAACTAAAGG